AGAGGAGGGCGTCCTGGGGGAGGGTGGCCCTAAATCCAATGACAGTGTCCTCATCAGAGACAGAAGAGGAGACACAGACACAGAGGAGAAGCCACATGGAGACAGAGGCTGAGACGGGAGGGAGGCGGCCACCAGCCCAGGGATGCCTGGAGCCCCAGAAGCTGGAAGAGGCAGGAAGGCCCCTTCCCTGGAGTCTCTGGAGGGAGCGTGGCCCTGCAACCCCTTCATCTCAGACGTCTGGTCTCCAGGCTGGGGGAGGGTGAATTCCTGTGGTTTAAGCCCCTGGTTTGGGGTCATTCATTACGGCCGCCCCAGGACACCTTGTTCAGGTACCTTTGACGCCTTGAAGCCATCGATGAGCTCGAGAAGGCCAATGGGGAACGGGGGCGGGCCATCCCCCGTCCTGTTGGAAGCCGCCTCCTGTGCACCCTCAGCCTGTGTTCGTTCTCCGCCGGCCTCCGCCCGGCCGCCGCAAGCCTCTTGGCTCTGAGCCGCGTCTGAGCCTCCGCCTTCCGCGTCGCTCAGGTTGTCGCGGGTGTCGAGGGCCGGGAGGGGGTCGTGTGTGAGCTGCTGCGGACCCTCGCGGGGCGGGGGGTAGTACAGCCTCGTCAGCTCCCTGCAGAAGCGGTTCAGCGGGAAGCCCACGACGTTGAGGAAGTCCCCGTGCGCGGACTCCACCAGCATGCCGCCCAGCGCCTGGATCCCGTAGCCGCCAGCCTTGTCCCTGAGGGCACAGGAAGGGCCACACGGGGCGGGGAGGACACACGGTAAGAGACCACGGGAGACATCCAGGGTTCTCGGGCCAAAGGCACAGCCGCTGCGACCCTGTCATTCCAGTCGGACGCGGGGACTGGAGGGGACCCCAAGATCTGCACCCCGGGGGCTCCATACGGAGGGTTGGGCTCCGGGCTAAAGTCGGACGTGAGCCTTCAGACCTGACCACCGGCCATCGTACAGGTGCACGTGGTGGCCCGGGGGGCTGCCCTCCACCCCAGCCCAGTGCCCGGCCCGTGGACCACAGTCTCAGGGGGTCACAGCCAAGGACCCAGGACCCCCGGCCATGCTGCTCTGCAGCCCTGCATCCCTGCCCAGGCGCCCCATTCGGAGGCCTCTTTACGGGGGTCCTCGGCCCAGGTGTTCCCCGGGCGCCCCTGCTGAGACCTCCTTACAGGGGAACAGGGGTCCCTGAAGACCCTCGTCCAGTGACTGAGCACCCAGCACATTTCCATCCAAGCCCTTTCCCCTCCTCCCCAGACCCGGGTCCCTAAAGCCGCAGGAGGCTTTGGTCTGGAGGCCCCCTCGGCAGCAAGATGACCCCCACGTCTGTGACATCCATCCGGCCCCGTCTGGCAATGTCCCACAGGGGACCACGGAACGGGGGGATCTAGCACCTTCTATCCACCTCTTACAGCAACAGCAACTGATGAAGGGCTCGCTGATTTCTCTCACTGGGTTTATTGTCCCCATCAGCCACCCAACACCATCCTCATCTCAGCACTGCCCCGCTGAGCCCGGACCCCACTGCCCTCACCATCCCGTCACCTGGGCCCCTGCACTGCCCCGCTGAGTCCGGCCCCCGCTGTCCTCACCATCCTGTCACCTCGGCCCCTGCACTGCCCTGCTGAGTCCAGCCCTCTCATTGTAAATGGGACAATCACCCTCCTATTGTGAACTAAATGTGTGTGTCCCCATAAATTCATATGTGGAAGCCCTGACGCCCAGTGGGATGGGATTGTTATATGGGATGTGTGGGAGTTGATTGGGGTTGGATGGGGTCATGAGGGTGGGTTCATTTGTCACAGCCGCCTCAGGAAATCACCCGACCCCGAGGGCACCCTTCTCCCCGACTTCGCCCTGCGCTGGCCCGAGACTGGCTTTAACCAGCAGAACGCCCGCTCCGACCCTCGGCCTCAGGAGCCTGGGGCATCTGTGCTCCCCTTCCCGCTGCCGCTGGCGCCCGGCCCCTCGTGTGGACCCCGATGGAGCCACTTCATGAGGAAACACAGCAGGCCGGTCCCCAAGCCACCATCAGACACGGGAGGGGGGCCACCAGCCGGCCCCCAGGAGCAGGCCCAGCACAGCTGGACAGTGGGCCGCCCAGCCCAGCCCCAGCAGCTGAGCCCATGTCCCCAGCTTGAGGACGATTGCTGCCTGGGGCCGGTACAGTTTGCGGTGACCTCTGAGGTCCAGAGAGAGAGCTGCTGTCGAAGCAGAGTCACCCCCTGCCCCCACGCCAGCTCCCCAAACGTGCCACCATCACAGGAGCGGGCATGGCGCCCCGGGGGGGCCGCCAGCGGTTTATGATCATCCGGGGACCCTCAGAAGCATGTTTAAGCCAGGCACTTCCGGAAGACAGGGGCGTGGAGCGGACCCTCTGGAGCTCAGGCTGTACAGCCGGGCCGAGGGACCTCCGCCCAGGACGCGGGACGCCGCCTCCCGCCAGGCACTCACGTGGGCTCCCCGCTGTCGATGTATTCCCGCAGCAGCTCCTCCGACAGCTCCGAGAACCTCACCCTCGTCTCCTCATAGAATTCCGTGACCTCGGTGTGCAGCCGGCCGTCTGGAAGGTGGGAAGCCCGAGGTGAGGACCCTTGGCCAGGGCGCGGCCTCAGGGTCCCCAGGTTTGTGTCTCTGCATTTGGGGGAGTTTCCTGACCTTTGTGTGCAATTCAGAGATTGGTTAACGGGGGGGGGGGGGGTAAGAGTTCATTTTCGACAAGGGAGAAAGAGAGAGAAAAGAAGAGAAAACAAGCAAATAAAATCAGCAGGAGGAGACAAAGCCTGCGGGCCCGGCTGAGATGGCGCCTTTGGTTTGCTGGGGTCAACACAAGATCTTTGCCTGTGGGGTTGGAAAAGCCCCACGCACAGAACAGCAACCATGCACAAGAGCCGCTTGAGAGAGTCGCCCTCACCAGCTGTCCTGCAGTGATGGTGACCCCCAAATTCATGTCCCTCGGGACCTGGGAATGAGACCTTACTTGGAAACAGGGTCTTTGCAGATGTGATTAAGTGAAGGTTGCAGATGAGGGCGTCCTGGGGGAGGGTGGCCCTAAATCCAATGACAGTGTCCTCATCAGAGACAGAAGAGGAGACACAGACACAGAGGAGAAGCCACGTGGAGACGGAGGCCGAGACGGGAGGGAGGCGGCCACCAGCCCAGGGACGCCTGGAGCCCCAGAAGCTGGAAGAGGCAGGAAGGACCCTCCCCTGAACCCTCCGGAGGGAGCACGGCCCTGCGACTCCTTCATCTCACACCTCTGGTCTCCAGGACTGGGGGAGGGTGAATTCCTGGGGTTTTAAGCCTTGTCGTTTGTGCTCATTTGTACAGCCGTCCCAGGACACTCACGCCCCAGCCCAGCATTAGGAGGGTCTGAGCCAACAGCAAAGATATGAAAGAGAAGCGAGAGCTGAAGGGTCCCTGGGAATCTCAGTCTCCAGCAACTGCTTTCTGCCTGAAGGGCCCCAGGCTGAAGTCCAAGATGGCCCGAGAGGGTCAAGGTGCCCCAATCGCTAACCACATGCCCTGGGGCCGCCCATCGGGGGATGCAGTCAGGGGGCCCAGGGCCAGGAGCTCAAACTCCACGTCAGGGTCCTTCCCCGGACCTAAAGTCTCTGCAAAGCAGCCGTTCAAGTTACTCCTCACGGATTTCGCGCGTCTTTTAAGAACTTTGCCGTGACGTAATTTAGAGACGCCAACGTGGGCGAACCTCGTCAGCCTCCAGGACCAAAGGGTCTCAGGAAACATTGCACGGGTCACTGATGGGTTTTAGGACTGGACACCCACGTGTCCGCCATCCAGACACCGTCCCCCAGCACCGCCTCCCTCGGGCGCCCAGAGGTGACCCCACGACTTCCAGGACAGACCCCGACTTCCCCGGGCATGACAGGAGGAAAGGGCTCCTTGGGAGCGACACCCGGCTCCCTCTGTGAGCCCAGGTCACCGAGAACGCCCGGCTCCCCCGGGTGACCCCGACCCAGGCAGGATGTGGAGTTGCCGAGGTACCTGTGCTGCAGCAGTGGACGATGGCCACGCCCGTGAACACGCTGTGCTCGGTCCCATTCAACCTGCAAGACACGCCCAGCGCCACGTGGTCAGGCGGGGGCCGTGGGCTGAAGCGCCTCTGATGCCCCACGGTACGGCTGGAGTCCTCGCACCCTGTCCGCTCGCCGGCCTCTGCCGCCATCGTCCCAGCCACCGGGTCCCCAAGGAAACCTTCCTAGAGTGACCAGTGCAGGTCGATGCCAGTGTGGTCACCGCTCTTAGAGCAGAAGGGAGCGCGGGGGCCGTCTCTTATGGGACTCGAGGTCCCCGTCATGGGGGAGCACAGGTATCCTGACGGGGAGGCCGGCCATGTGGGGACCGGGCAGCTGTCAGCCGGCTCTTTCTCGGGGTCCGTTTGCTGTCTGGGGCCGGAGCGAGATGCCGGCCGACAGACACAGTGCAGAGGACGGAAGTGAGACCATGCAGATGTGTGAGGGTGTGGCCCGCCCAGGGTCAGGGATCCAGGACAATTCCTCCCGAGGACAGGCAGGGAGGGACAGTGCCCACCTCCCCGTGGCCGGAGCGGAAGCTCAGATGCACTGGGCTCCTGGGGAAAGCCGGTCAGAGGGGCGTGGGGAGCCAAGAAGGATGGGAGGGGCCAGAGGGGCAGGCTGATGGACACCTGGCCCCCGCGGGAGCCCCAGAGGGTGAAATCAGCACAGCGTACGTCCACGGGTGCCGGCCCGTCCTCTGAGCTGACCCGGAGGGGGGTTGCGGCCCGTCCACCCGGCCCCGCAGCTCTGTCTGCCATATCCCAGGAGGCAGGTGGTGGGCACCCACCTGGAGAGCATGCTGTAGGCGTCCTGTTTGTCAACCGGCTTCTCCAGGATCAGCCCGCCCACCGTCTGCGAGAGAAGCGAGAGGGAGAGGGTCTCTCCAGGCCTTAAGCCGGGGGCATAAAAGGCGCCCCGTCCACTCTTTAGACCCGTGGTTTTTTTTTTTTTAATTTGAGGTGAGAGTCACATGACATAAAATGCACCATTTTAAAGTAAACGGTTCTGTGGCATTTTGTGCATTCACAACATTGTGCAACCACCGCTTCTATCTACTTCCAGAACTTTCTCATCATCCTGAAACACTGGGTACCCATTAAGCAGTTCCCCCCCCCAATCCCCGCTGGCAACCACTAATCCACTTTCTCTCTATGGATTTGCCTGTTCTGGACATTTCGTGTAAATAGAATCACACGCTGTGTGGGCTTTTGTGTCTGGTTCTCTCATTGAGCATCGTGTGTTGAAGGTCCATCCACGTTGTAGCCCTGTCAGTGCTTCACTCCTTTTCCTGACTGTGTAATATTCCACCGTGTGGATGGACCCCATTCTGTTTATCCACTCATCCATCGATGGACATTGGAGCTGTTCTGACCTTTGAGCTATTGTGAACAGTGCTGCTACGAATGTGCGTGTACAAGATTTTGTTTGAACACCTGTTTTCAATTCTTTTGGGTATATACCTAAGAGTAGATACTAGGGCTGCCATAACGGAGGACCACAGACTGGGGGCTTAAACAACAGACATTTATTTCTCCCAGTTCTGGAGGCTGGACTCTGAGACCCAGGTGTGGGCAGGGCTGGTTCCTCCTGAGGCCTCTCTCCTTGGTGTGTAGACGCTGTCTTCTCCCCGTGTCCTCACATGGTCGTCCCTCTGTGCGTGTCCGTGTCCTCATCTCCTCTTCTCATAAGGACACCAGTCCTGTTGGATCAGGACCCACCCTCATGACCTCATTTTACCTTCATCACCTCTTTAAAGACCCATCTCCAAATACAGCCCCGTTCTGAGGTCCTAGGGGTCAGGGCTCCAACATGTGAATTTGGGGACACAGCTCAGCCCACAGCACTGGAACTGCTGAGTCCTACAGTAATTCTATGGTTAGCCTTTTGAGGAGCCTGCATTGCTCACTTCTTAACTTCCATGTAGAGATGCCCTGAACCGTTAAGCAGACAGTGTCTGGTTCTCGCCCACATGCATGCAGGTCCCATCGACCTGGGCTACATGGGAACAGACGGCACGTGAGGGCGACGTGGACCCCGGGACGGCCCCATCCAGTGTTTTCCGAGCCCGGACTGTTTCAGCGTTCACACTGCCGGCCCCTTGTCTGGAGACTGTCCGTGGCACGCTGGCATCGAGGCCCAGCGTTGCTGGCTTCAGGTCACCATCAGGCCAGCTGGAAGGTGGACAGAGGGCCGTCACCAGTGTGGCAGAGCCGCGGTGAGGACCAATCTGCGTGACCTCCCATCGCAGAGCACAAGGCTCTGTGGACAAAACCCCCGTCTCAGGTAGAACTGTGTCCCCCAAAAGATATGTCCAGGCCCTAACCCCCCACCTGGTGAACAGGATGTTACCTGGCAATGTCGTCTTTGCAGATGTAATGGAATTTAAGGTGAGGTCGTACTGCAGTCAGGTGGGCCCTAATCCATTATGACTGGTGTCCTTTAAGAAGAGGACAATTGGGACACAGACACACAGAGGGACGACCATGTGAAAACTGGAGGGATGCCCACAAGCCAAGGGATGCTGAGAATGGTCCGCAGGCCTCCAGAAGCTGGGAGACGCCTGGGACGGATTCTCCCCTGGGGCCTCCAGAAGGGGCGAGCTCCGCCCACACCTTGACCTCAGTCACCAAGGACACGGAGACGGAACCCGAGGCTGGGAAGTGGACTCACCACGATGGTGTCCGCTCCGATGACAATGTCGGGGGTCCGGAGGTCTTTCTGCAAGAAATCCAAACTCAGATTTAGAAATGGCATGCCTGCGTGTCTTATGCAGACATTTTCGTGGTACGACGGGCGTGAAACAGCATCACTGGTACAAAGCCAGTCTTATTTCAGAAAGCAAGACCTGGATGTCCTCAATGAGCCAGGCAGGGACACAAGTGTCACCCCAAGACGCTCATCTGACATCTGTATACCACCTTGATCTTTGGGCGCACCGTAATACTAACATTTCCATTGCCAAAAATCAAATAATCAATATTCATTTTTTTACACCAATAGTTATGTTATAATTATAGCATTAACTAGAATACATTTACTATATTAATTTCAGTAGGATATTATTTTTGTTGTTAGTGCCGTCGAGTGGATTCTGACTCCTGGTGACCCTGTGGACAGCAGAGGGAACCCTGCCCGGTCTTTTTGCACCGTCTTCTCCCATTCCAGTGCCCTATCAGACAATACTCTGCTGCTATTCACCGGTTTTCATGGTCAATGTTTTTGGAAGTGGGTGGCAGGTACTTCCTCCTGGTCTGTCTTAGTCTGGAAGCTCCACTGAAACCTGCCCACCATGGTGACCCTGCCGGTATCTGAAATCCCGGTGGCACAGCTTTCAACATCACAGCAACGTGCAGCCACCACAGTGTGACAATGACAGATGTGGGTGTGGCTCCCTGACCAGGAAACAAACCCTGACCATGAGAGTGAGAGCACTGAATCTTGACCACTAGACCACCAGGGCTGGTGTGAGATATTATTGTAATACACGGTAATCGATAAGCTACATTAATTCTATATCATAAGTGACACTATTATAGTAATAACAGTAGTATATTACGTAGTAACACCTAGTGATAAATAAGTTGCATTAATTCTATATCATAAATGATACTGCTATATCAATTATAATAGTATATTACATAGTCATAAAGGAGCTGTATTCTTTATTGTAATGATACTGTTACATTAATTGTCATAGTGTTACATTGTAACAGAGTAATAGACACACGTTGTTACATAAAGGACACCATTAAAGGGCTACAATAGCACACTACACAGGAACACTCAGCAACAGGTAAGCTACAGCAATTGCACATTGTAAACGGCATTTATTTATAACACGGATGTTTGAAACCTGGACGCGCCCTCACAGTGAGAGGACCTGCGGGCAGCAGAGGCGGGGCCTTGCCTGGTGCATCCTGCAGGCCACCTCCAGGGCCTTCTGCTTGGCTGTTTCGACGGCATACGCGTGAGGGGTGGGGAACGAGGCTTTCTGGAGGTTCTCTTTGAACCTGGAAGGGACCACCTCGAACCTGAGACCCTGGAACGGGAGAAAAGGAAGGCTGGAGGGTTTACCGGAAGAACTCGAGGACGTGGAACAGAATGGGCACGGTTTACAGGAACTGTGGCCTTCCCGACGGGCACGCCCCCTTCCGGCCGTCCATCTATTCATGGGACCTTTACCAATAGCCAGCTCCTGGTGGGGCAGGGGGTGGCGGGTCCTGGCGGGAAGACACTGGCACAGCAGCAGCCACACAACACCAGCAGGGTGGTGTTGACTGGGGTGCTGGGGTCCACAGCTCTGGGGGTGGAAGGGCTCTCAGGGTGTCCCAAGGGCCAGCACTCCCCTCCCCAGTGGTGGTCAAATATACTGCCCACACAAAACACAAAAAAGTGCTACAAACACTGGCTGCCTAAGGGGGAGCTGCGTTTCACTTGGTCCTTGACACCATGAGCAGCTAGGACAGCCCTGGGGAGGTGGTCACAGTCGGGTGACATCCCAGAGTCCACTGGGGACAGGAATGTCGGCCTGTCCACAGAGGTGAAACTCCCTATCACCACAGGTACCCCTACAGGGCACACACCTGGCTCTGACTTCCCTTGTTCACCTCTCTAAGGGGTGCCCCTCAGTCGTGTACCTCAAGAACCCCCACGTCCCCTGGACCACTCTGTGAGCCTCCATCCATTCAGTGCCCCCAGCCCTGCCCCTGGAGGTACAGAGAGCACCCCTCACTCGGTACCCACCCCTCCCCTCCACCCATGTCCAGACTGGGCCTCCTCCGCTCCCCTATCTCCACCCAGTCCACAGGCCAGAAACTAGAGCAACTGAGACAGCACAGCCCCCCCCAGACAGCACGGCCCCCCCGAGACAGCACAGCCCCCCCGCCAGACAGCACAGCTCCCACCAGACAGCACAGAACCCCAGACAGCACAGCCCCCCCAGACAGCACAGCCACCACCAGACAGCACAGCCCCCCACCACACAGCCCCCCCAAGACAGCACAGAACCCCAGACAGCACAGCCCCGCCAGACAGCACAGACCCCCCAGACACACAGCACAGCCCCCCAGACAGCACAGAACCCCAGACAGCACAGCCACCCCAGACAGCACAGACCCCCCAGACAGACAGCACATCACACACCAGACAGCACAGAACCCCAGACAGCACAGCACCCCAGACAGCACAGACCCCCCAGACAGACAGCACATCACACACCAGACAGCACAGACCCCCCCAAACAACACAGCCCCCCACCAGACAGCACAGAACCCCGGACAGCACAGAACCCCAGACAGCACAGCCCCGCCAGACAGCACAGACCCCCCAGACACACAGCACAGCCCCCCAGACAGCACAGAACCCCAGAGC